TGCGAGATGTGCTGCACATACGATTCTTGTGCATTAATTTTGCCTTCTTTTCTCTCTCCTCTAGGCTCACAATAAACCTATCTTCACAAGAGAAAAACCCCTCAAAAAATCATTTATCCCATTTGTTAAAAATCAACCCATTCATTTGTTACTCTTTCAAAAACTACCAAAAGTGCACTGTTGTAGATGCTCTAAGTATTGTCATGAAATCCACATAGTACAAAGTTATACCGGACTTGTTCACACGAGCTTAGCTCATTGATTTAGTAGGTAATATTTGGGAGAAGAGACCAAAGTTCAAACCTCAACAGTGTGGGAATTATTTTCAAAGTGAACAGACCTCTTGTACACACTGACATTTGATCATGTCTACTGAACAATTGAGTTACCATAATTTACATTCTTCCAAATGCTATGTTAAATTAAAGAGTTAATTCCAGCAATGGTCCTCCGACTATAGTGATTTTCCAAAATTAGTCTCCGACTTTTAATTTGGACACTTTAGGTCCCTTGACTTTCAATTTCTTTCCAATTGAGGTCCTTTCGTTAGAATACGGTTCATTAGACTTTAAATGAAGGGGTAAATTCGTCCTTTCACCTGCCTATGTATTATTCTTCGTATTTCTCCCTTCATATTTCGTTGTTATACCTTGTAAACATCTCAATAATAGAGGAACGCACACACGAGTAGTCAGCAAATGGGGAACGACGAGGAACATTTTAGGGTTTCGACTAAGATTATCTTCATATATATCGCGTATACAATGGAGAAATACTAAGAATAATACATAGGCAAGTGAAATGATGAGTTTACCCCTTCATTTAAAATTCAATTAACCGTATTCTGACGAAAGGACCTCAATTGAAAAGAAATTGAAAGTCAAGGGACCTAAAGTGTCCAAATTAAAAGTCAGGGACTAATTTTGGAAAATCACTATAGTTGGAGGACCATTGCTGGAATTAACTCTTAAATTAAAATATAAGAATCACTTGAAATAGGAGATTTAATAGTTTAGGAGAAAATAGTTATACCGGACTGGGCCTTTGGGGATTCAATCTTAAGCCACTAATGTAGACTTTTTGCAAATGTAGATGTATTTGGGACATCTACTATGTTCGTGGTGTTTCAAAATAATCATTGGACTTTGAAATGAGAGCTTGGAAAGTTGTTGGAATGTCAATTCGAATGTTTTCCGTCTAATTCAGTTTTCACTTTTCAAATAAGTGGTTGTGGAAAAGTTAGATGTATGCTAGAATATGAGTCAATTTTGTTTACTCCGTATTAATTATAGTGATGTTTTAACTGTTAACTAGGGGCTGTGTGGAGCATATGAGAATAAATTTGGATTTTTCGGAGTGGAGAGTGTGTTTGATTTATAGATTTAGCTATCAGAGATGAGAATTTATTATTTGGTTGATAGAATTTTAGAACATTACTATAAAATTTGATTACCTTCTTAATTTGAAAACTAATTCCCTAATAAAATAATGATTCCATTCCATTATTTCTCTCCTAATTGGTAATTTTATTTTTAATTTTGCATTAGTGCTTTTAAAATTTTGTTTTTACTCCATTTTTTTTTGTTCATATTGGTGTTTTGGACGTCTTTATATTAGAATAAATTGTCTTGATTTTTTGTTATTGTATTTTTTAAAACACTTATTCCCATTATAGGATCATACATGACCAAACAACAATATTGATAATCATTTCGATTCCACCCTACTACCAAACATGCAAAATACTTTCACCAAAATTCATTACCATTACCAAGTATTTAATTATCATTCCGATTCCAATTCTTATGTGCGAACCAAACACACCCAAATTTACTAAATGCAGATTTGGAAAATCTTATTCCCATTCTCATTCACAATTGTTATATCATGGACCAGGGTTCACCTTGCAAGGTGGACCCTGGTCCTAAATTGTGTATTTTTAAAAATTTGTGAATACAATAGATGGTCATCATAAATTGTAAATTTTTAAAAGGTAAATTGTGAACATTTAGTATGTAAATTGTGTATCTCTGAACGCAGGTCCACAGAATAATTTGCCAACCAAAATGGGGAGGTGCGGGGGCCAACGACGATTGAAGTTTACTAAATCAAATACGTTAATATCCATTTAACATATTTCAACATAATCAATATATTATAAATTTATCAGGACTATGTGGTCTAATGGTATTCGGGTTGGATTTTCATTTGGAAGATTATGAGTTTGAGCCTCAGTGGAGGCGTTATTGGTTTTTTGTGTTTCAATAAGTTGAGAAAGTATATGAACAGATACTACAATGTAATAGAGTCAATAGCTTTCAAAAAAATATATTATAAATTTACTAAAATTTATATCTTGATCAAATTCCGTGAACTCCGCAATATAATTCATCAAAATTCGAAAGATTCAAAGTTTTAAAAGGGGAGGGGGGGGTTACCTGTAGACTTGTAGCTTGAAGAAGAAGAAGATGTGAATTGTAGTCTATTTGTCTGGTCTGAGATTGAAAGCCAATGTATAAAATGTACTCAAAAAGCTTGATTGATGGGGGTCAAAACATTTTGATGAGGGACCACAAAAGAATATTACGGAGTATAATATTAAAAAAAAAAAAAAAAAAAAAAAAAAAAAGAGGGGAGCCAAGACTTCCTACACTTCCGACTTTCCTAGGTAGCATTATAATATGTTTTTTTTTTTTTTAAAAAAAAAAAAAAGAAAAAAGGACGGGGGAAGGCAAATTATTCTGTAGACCTGGACCAGGGTCCAAATAGGGATGTTAACGGAGCGAGATGGGGGCAGGGGACATACCTCCATCCCCGCCCTCGATTTTCTTCACATTCCTCGTCCCCGTTTCCATTTTCGTCGGGGAAGGGAAAAATCCCCCATCCCCATTCCACGGGGATTATTTTGGGATGGGGAATCCCCACCCCGTTAATAAGTTATAAAAAAAATTAAAAATTAAACATTAAAAAGCATTTAAATAAATAACGCATATATATATATTCATCTCCAACTTAAAGTAGTATTAAATATTTTACAATTAAACATGTTATTTAAATATGCATTTCATAAGCATGACATACAATGACAAGAATGCTTCTAAAATTATATATATTGTATACAAATTAAAGTAATACATATGTGTGTTGTGTGGATATATATATATATATATATATATATATATATATATATATATATATATATATATCGGGGACTACTCTCATCCTTGCCCCTGTCCCCGGCGGAAAATTTAAAATTGCCCTCATCTCTATCCCCGATCCCGTATTTCTGTCCTCATCCCCGTCCCCATAGGGACGGAAAATCGAGTTCCCGTCGGGTGTGGGTACAGTTGACATCCCTAGGTTCAGAGATACATAATTTATATTGAATATTCACAATTTTTATATATTAAATATTCACAATTTACATATTGAATGTTCATAATTCATATTCTGAACATGTATGTAAATTGTGAACATTCAATATATAAATTTTGTATTTGATCTGAGTTCACTTTACAAGGTAAATCTGGATACATGATATAACTATCGCGGGGGAAGGCCCCTGCACTGCCCATGTTGCTCCGTCCCGGCAAGGGACTTTATCAAATTAATCTGAGTCATTTATTATAAAATGGATGGATTGATTTAGCCCAATTGATTTACTCCGTAATTGATTATGCTAATGAGCTCAAAAAGTTAATCAATTGGTTGGTTTTTGTGCGACGAAGTGTAAACGTGTCAGCTCATGTCTTTGTTCATCAGACTTTACAATGAGGATGTGGGTTTAGTAGAGTTGTTTCATTATAGTCCTTGATATTTTTTTTCTACTATTTGTACAAACGATTTGGATATTGCTTAATGAATATGTGTGGTTTTTTCCTTTCAAAAACTTAATTCAATTAAATTGATTATTTTGGCCCAAATGCAAATTACCTAATCATTATAAGGCAAATTATACTATCCACCATACACTTTGTATCATGGAGTTAGCCCAGAGCTCAGTTCAAATTATGTACCTGCAAATAGTGTTGTAAAAATCACACCTAGACGCCGATTAATCGGTACTTAGGCGCTAGACAACGCTCAACCGTGTCAAAGAACGCTGAAATCGTCCTCCTCCACGGCCAGGCGCCTAGGCGGTCTAGGCGGCCGAACCCCTAATATATTTTCCTCAAAAAAAAAAAAATTATATAATATTTAATAGTACCAGGTACCTAATCTTGTCCACGGTATAACTATTAACAAATTATATTGTGAATCACTAATACAAGTTTATTTTTAGTATACTACATGCTTATTTTATAGTAGTACAATAAGGGTCCATTTGGAAACTCAGAAAATGACTTTCAGAAGTTTTTTTTTTTTTTTTTTTTTTTTTTTTTTTTTTTTTTTTTTTTAATTTTTTCTGTGTTTGGAACTTTGGATATTCAAGAAAAATATTCATTCTGATCAACGGAAAAAAGACCCAATTAGATTTTTAGTCAGAAGACATTTTCGAATTCTTTATTTTCACGTATTTATGTTCTTTCTCATATATTTTCAAATTAGTTTTCGAATTATTATTAGCACCATCACTACCCTCACCACCACCACACAACCACAACCAATTATTATTATTATTATTATTATTATTATTATTATTATAACAATAACAACAACAAATAATGTATTCATTTTCAAGAAAATGAATACAGAAAAAAATCCAATTTCCTAACTTTCACTCAAATAAAAAAAAAGATAGTTTTATGAACTTGAACCGAACATTAAAAATTAATTTATTTTTCAGAAAATGAGACACTTTCTTAAAATCATTTTTTGAAAAACATGTTTTAGGTTTCTAGTCTAGACCATAAAAGAGATCTTGCATTATACTAAAAATAAACTTATATAAAAATATAATGAATTTATTAAAAATTAACGTGTAGTATAGTACAAAATGAATTTGCAGATTACGGAAAACAAACTTGTATATTCTACATTGCAATATACACTATGATCCATGGTATAATGATCATCACTGTAAATAGTGACCTGAGAAGACCTCAGAGAACTCAGTACATACTGAAACTGCAGAAAATCTTCAGAGTTAGTTTTTCAACAGTGTTTGAAAATCTTCATTATACAACAAAGGGTACACTTAGCGTAGTAATAGTTTAACATGCATGGCATATGAAGACAATATTTCAAACAGTTTAATGCAAGCCTATAGTCTATATATACAGAATTGGTCATCTTTTATGGTCTAGGACTTCAAGTCTTCAAGTTAGTGCCTCAGTGGTGATCACTAAAAAACACCATTCAACTACACAGCAATATAATGGTCCTTTGCTATTGCTGCAATGGATATCTGCAATCAAGATTTTCCTCTGAACAGTCTTTCTGCAATTCTTCAGGAGGTATGAAGGAGTCGATGGAAAGGCCGGGGACATTAAACGCGAGATCGTCTATGGTATATGTTTCTTGCATTCGCGTGGTGGCAGGCCCAGCCTTTAGATTGTCTCCAAACGTTGTGATTATTACACTCGAGTAGCCAGAATGAGCTATCATCACTCCCTCTACGGGCCGATAATCCTCTATCCTTGTGCACATTGTGGTTTCCCAGTATGTTGCAAAGGAACCGGGGGACTGAATTCTGGTCAGATATGAATCCTCGAGGTAAATGAGCAGGCCGCTTCTTTGGCTGAAGTAACCGAACACAATGTGCTTTATCATCTCCGCTGTGCTATCACTGCGGTCAGCCAGGTCTTTGTGAGTCGCAGATAATTTCAAGACGAAGCAATCAACTCCCAGGATATGCTTTTCCCCGATGTACTCTGCTCCCGAGAACACAGCTGATATCGCCAGAGGATCAAGCCCCTGGTTGGTGAATTTAAGGTTAAACAAAGAAATAGTCAGCAAAGTGATATGAAGGAACTCGATAAACTTAAAAGAAAGATACCAACAAACACTGTGAACAAAGAATTGGACTCATTTCTTGAAATAAAAATTATGCCAGCCAAAGGGTACTGACCATATGACCAAAAGGCTTACTGAGTCGATGCATTATGGTGAAAAATCCCAGATCTAGTCTCTTCATGTGTGTAAATAGCCAACTCTCTATCTGTTGTCAGAACATGATACATCTTTGGGAGACAGTGACCAAAAGACTTTGTAAGTCAATACATTATGGAACAGTACATCCCAGATCTGGACACTTTATACGTGTAAATAGCCAACTCTATTATTTGTCAGGACTTTATTCATGTTAAGGAGGGTATTCAATGCTACTTAGGTTGTACCTGTTGCACAAATCACATCATTGATACTTGGCCCCTTTGGCACCAGCCATAAGATCGCTAAATGCCTGTCAAGCACCATTACACGTACTTTTCACCTAGTTCATCTAACTTACCACTTTACCACTTTCATTCAAAAGATTATTTCTTACATTTTAGTATTTAGTTCCTTTAACTTTCTGACTCCCTTTTATCTTTTCAGATGATATATATGTATATATTCTGTGGAGGCATATGGGAAATGAGGTGAGAAGGTGGTCACATGCCCCACCAATTCTAGCAAATGCCATTATTTGTGGAAGTGGACTCAGAAACTAGACCACACAAGGGAAGAACATGCAAAAGCTAATGAAAAACAAGATCCATACTGGCCTTCCATGTCTGCCACTAGTGGAGGGAGTATTATTTTAGAATTTACTGCTATGATTTTATAAAACATTTTTAGCACAAGTTCTGTGAGCTAATTAAGAACTTGAAAGGAAATAATAATGGCAGTTACTTGCCTGGAGAGCACGTCTGAGAGGACGAACGCCGCCTTTAGCTGCATGAGAACCTAGCCAAGGCGTGTGACGCCAAGCCACATTGCCATCACTGCCCGCTATAATCTTGTGACCGCCCACAACAAGTTCAATTTGCCACTTGCCCGGAACCATTTGCCACATAACAAAACAACCCTTTTGTGAAACACTACTGCCAGATCCAACAGGCGAACCAGTCGAGCCAAGCTCATCCACCACTGCCATTGCAACTTTTCCAGTAGCATACATGTTCTTTACCATCCCTTCCAGCTTCCGGCAGCCAGTCGCTGCCATGAAGTGTTGTATTATGTATTCTGCTGATGACGAGACCTGGATTGTGAAGAGTTTAATCATTAATCTCTTCCAAATCAATTATATCATTTACCAGTGTTGCAAAAATCGCGCCTAGGCGCTAGGCGGCCGGCCTCCTAGGCGCCCTAGATGCCTGCCTAGGCGTTCTAGGCGCCCGCCTAGGCGCTCTAGGCGGTCCCCAGGCGCCTAGCAAATTTTTCAACATTGTCATTTACCTTAGATACATAATTTAGGATCACAGAGAAAGGGCTTTTGCCTTGAGTAACTCTTTAACTTTTTTTATCTTCATTATAAGGGTAACAGTAAAAAGTAGAACCATTTGTGGTACCTATTTAAGATTAAGTACTAAGAAAGTAGACAAGTTTTAATGATGGTACTAAAAAGTCAACATGAACAATTAAATTGGACAGCAAAAGTACTTACTAATTAAGATCCCTTCATTAAATACAGCAAAAGTTTGTTCATATGCTTTTTCTTACAGTAACTATTCTACACCATACCCTCCAGTATAGTGTAAATGTCTGTCCAGATGAGAACCTAACGCTAGAATATTAACCGAGAAGTACAAACATGTGCATGTGCAACCTCCACAAACATCGCTAGACTGAATCTAACCCAGATATGGGATAATTATTTCACTCTTCTTACCCCATACTCATAATCCTGAATTAATATTATTAAAGACAACCAAACACACTACATGGGATTATTAAAATGGTACAGATTAATATTGTTTTCCAGACAGTGCCTGCAAAAATGTTGGCTTATGGAACTTTACCATTGAAACTTCAAAGTCTTTACCGCATATCAATGAAGGATTTGTAGTGGTTCAATAAATTAAAGAAAGCAACCACTGAGTAGGACAAAGAGGAATGGGTTGTGGTATAATTTTAGTAGAAGATAAAACACTCAGAAACTACCAAACATTGATGTCTACAAGTCTGCAACCACTGGTAGGTAGAGTTGGGTTACCCCTCTTGAAGAAAGCATGCCATTAAAGCACACAACTAAAAAAATGATAAAAATCACAACTTTACTAAAAGCTACAAGTGTGGCCATTAATCTTATAGATGTGACAGCAAATTATATTACCAGACATATAAAACAAGCAAGGAAGAATTAAACACGTGTAGTGTGTATACAGGCATAAAATTTATGCAGAATTCCTATCCGCGGACCACAAATATCGAAACTTCTGATCTTGCTCTAATTTGTCGTTTCCTCTGATAACAATTCTCTGTGGAAAATGATGTTTTCACCCCCATTTAACATCCCCAGCTAAAAATGGATGCAAGAATTTTTTTAAAGTTGTTGCCCCAACACTTTTTCAGCCATGTCCGGGGTGGGAGTAAAAAAGCAAGTTAACCTAACATTACTTTGATTTTTGGAAACTGCAGCCACTATCTGAGTGATAAACTGATCGGTTCAAACTAAGAAAGATAAATTCTAATTTAAAATCTTAATTACCAAGCTAACTGTTCGAATAAATTAGCTAGGTTACCCCAAAACCTAACATTAATACTCCATAGAAGTATTAAATCTTAAACGAATGTTTAACTAAACTAAGCATCAAACATAAAATGGGATAATTAGAGTGTGATTAATTGGGTTTTGAACAAAGCATAAACAGAACCAAAGGCATATGATTATATGAATAATGGCAGTGATCAAGAACGAGAGAGAGAGAGAGAGAGAGAGGGCTTACTTGAGAAATAGGAAGTTTGGGATGGAAAGAAACAGGGAAGAGAGGGCAGCCAAGAACACTGAGAAGGATTCTGTGGTCAGATTTCTTGTGGATAAAGAGCAGAGACGACAAGTGGGTTCTGAGCCAGTTTCTCCATGTCTGGGATTTCTTCGAACAGTTGTTGGACAATTCCTCCATTTCTTCGCCATTCGGAACTTCAGCCAATGGCGCCAGACGACTCATCTCTAACGTAAACTATATGTGATCCTAAGCTCCAATCCTCACTTCCCCTCTCTTCTTCGTGGTGCTCATAATCTGCCCCCTCCCGCGTCTCCTTCTACTTCACAATCTCATGAAAATGTTAGCAGAAGAGAGAGTGAGAGAGAGAGAGAGACAGACATTTAAAAGCAGCGGCGGGTGTAGCTTTACCGCACGTACTTTGCCCGCGTGCGCTCACTTCTTTCCACGAAAAAACGTCACAAAAATTCGTCGCATAATTTACTTTTTTTGAGATACCCGGACCCCGGAGAAATATTTTATTTTATTTTATATGACTTTTTAAAAAAAATAAATTTTATATGAAATTATTTTAGGTAGAAATTTGTTTTCAACTAACTGATCAATGTCATTGTTCATATCTCATATATGTTTTAAATGAATCACACTTGCGTGAGACATCTCAAGGATATTAAATTGTGAGACAAGTCAAATTTATGATAGTTGCTTGTTATTTATTATAGAAATTATAATACTTATTACAGAAATTTTAATACCAATTTGAAATAAATAAAATGCTACTTATAATAGATATTGTAATTGATAAAATTATTGTTACTAACGATAAATATTGTAATATTTATAACTGAAATTCTTATACTTACAAAGTGTAATTCTATTGTAAATATTGTAATACATATATGTGTAATGTTACCTATGAAATAAATTGTAATACATGTTGGTTTTACGTCCAAGAGGTAGCTGTTCGGCGGGCCAATACTACCATAAAATACTAGGATTTTGGTGAAAAAATAAAAGAAAGCTTGCTAAAAGAGTTTGGCAGCGTAACATGATTCTTTATTGAGTAGTCAAAAATCCGACGCTTTGGGGCGTTTGGTTATAGGGAGGGAATTATGTGGGAAACAAATTGCAATTCCATGGGAGATGAATTACTGGGGATAAAGTGAGAATTTAAATTCCAGTGTTTGGTTTACAGGAATATAATTATTGGGAATTTCAATTTCAATGTTTGGTATACATGTGAATTGAAAGAGAATAAGTAGTATAAAATTCAAAATGCTGGTGTAGGAATCAATTTTAAGTTAAAAAATGGAGGGGTAATTTTGTCTCATGATTATCTTTTTTTCTTCCTAAAATCTATGGAATTAAAATATCACGGGGGACATGGGATTTTAATTCCATGAAAATGAGGGAATTGCAATTCCTTCCAACCAAACTAAAGAATTTACAGGGCGTTTGGTTGGAGGAGGGGAATTATGTGGGAAAAGAATTGTAATTCCATGGGAGTTGAATTACTGGGAATAAAGTAGGAATTTAAATTCCAGTGTTTGGTTGACAGGAATAGAATTACTGAGAATTTCAATTCCAATGTTTGGTATACATGGGAATTGAAAGGGAATAAGTAATATAAAGTCAAAAATGTCCATTATTATTGTTAGACATTAATTTTAGGTTAAAAAAGGAATGGGTAATTTTGACTCATCACTATCTTTTCTTTCCCGGAATTAAAATCACAGGGGGGGGGGGGGGGGGGGGGGACATGGGATTTTAATTCCATGAAAATGGGGGAATTGCAATTCCATGGAATTGCAACTCCCTCCAACCAAACTACGGAATTTAATGGCCTTTGAAATTATGTGGGAATTAAGTGGGAAGGGAATTTAAAATCCCTCCAACCAAACGCCCTGTTAGTGGCCTTTGTAATTAGGTGGGAATTAAGTGGGAATAGAATTTAAATTCCCTCCAACCAAACGCCATGTTACATGGTGACCCTGTTGGGGTATTTATACAAAAGAAGTAAGCTTCCTACAAGGAAAGTAGGGTAAAGATGGAGTGGAATCTGCCAGCAGATCCGCTGTAATCACGGTAATAAATGCTTAAACCGAGGAAGGAAGCTGCTGGCCAAATAAGGAAAGGAATCTCCGTAAAATCAGATGTTCATCGTCTTTGGACACGCACTCGGTCGGGGACGCACCGGCCGCCTGATGAGGTAACCCGGCTAGTGAGGCTATGGTACTTAGGCAAGGACGCACCGACCGCTGAGTCTGGTCACCCATCCAAGTCCTCATATGGAACCCGGGCGAGGACACGCCGATTACTGAGCCTGGTCGCCCGTCCCAAGCCCGAGAAGGGACCTGGTCGGTGACACGCCGACTACCGAGGCTGGTCGCCCATCCGAGCCCGTTGAGTGCACCCAGTCGGGGACGCGCAGGCTGCAGAGTCTGGTCGCTTAACCTGAGCCAACCAACATCCGTTCGAGTACGCGCTCATCCGCTGGTCTTGTCTCCTGGGTGCTTCGCGTGGCAAGCGGGGACAGTGGACGCATCCCATCTCCTTGAATTTGTCAAGTGTTATACTTTGCTCGGACTTGACTGCCATTCTATTCTTACTAGAACGAGTACGCGATTTAGGGTATCTATCAATACCTATTGTAGAAAATTTAATACCAATTTAAATTAAAAATAAATCATTATGTTACTTAATATATATATTATAATATTTATATGTGAAATTATGATACTATTTAGGATAAAATTAATTGTTACTGATGATAAATATTGTTATACTTATAACTAAAATTGTGATACTTACACACTCAATTGTATACAACCCGACCCGTCTCACAAACAATGATATGTGAGACGATCTCAAATTTTAAGTACCTTTTAAATAACGTGAAGTTATTCATAATTCGATACATCTTTCTTTAATTAAAGTTACAAATTCACACAAGTAATTAGTATCACTTATGACTTACCTTTTTCAACTCATTTTATATGTATAATTCGATTAATGAGATTTGAGCCAAGTTATTTATAATTTAATTTTTGTAATATTTAGTTTAGTATTAATATATTAAATTTATATATCCATAAACTACATTAAAAATATTATTAAACATAAAAAAAAATTTTAAAAATTTAAAAAATTGATTTGACTCGTAATAGTGAACTTAAAACAGAAAGAGTATTAAATAAACTAATTATAATTTAGAAGTTGAACTCATCACCTAACAAAGCGGCTAGTAAAATATATGGTATGTGACTTGTGCTATAGATGCATGAAAATGCAATAATATAAAGAATATGTATTGTGTCTTTAATACAATTAGTATATAGTGTGATGATACATCTGTTATCATTTCAAATGAGTGGTGAACTCATTAATTATTTGATTCTTTGAGTTAAAATAGATTGAGAAAGTATATAATAGATATTACGTAACTTATTTATAAAGAATTGAGTGTTTCAAAAAAAAAAAAATTATTATGTTTTGAATGAAAATGCTATATATTTGATGAATCCGTATAATATGAATTATTATTAGAGAAAAAATTATAATTTTTTTTTTTTGTTACATAAAATTTTCAATTATTCTTTGAAAATATGCATTAAGTAAATATTGCTCCTATCTCATACCCCACTCATGGTAAAATACGTTAGTAATATTATCACATATATTGAGATATGATGTAATTAATGTTTCTATGCATAGTATTGCTTTTTATTAATTTATAACTTTCAACATCAAACCTAAATGTCTCTTATTAATTTAATTTATTATGATGTGGGTCACTGTAATTTATATTTAGGATAGGCCATTACATCATTTCTTGTTCAAAGATTATGATGTTTCGATGAAATCAAAGATGTTAGTTGCTTTTCAATGTTTTACCTAACCAAAGACAAATAGCATTTTGCAATAATTTATGATTGACTCTAAGCCTCTCTTTTAGATGATTAAGGTCACTATAGCCATAGCAGTAAGCAGCTTAGATTAGCATAGCAACGTACGGAGTATTACTTTAATTCTTAGTTCGTAACAAGTTTATATAAATTTTGCATAATAAGTTTTGACCAACCTAGGCATGAAATAATAGTTAGGCAAACTCAATGGGTTATATACATTACATAACATGATGTAAGTTATAATCTCAATAAATTAATTTAGCAACATTATTAATCTTTTGCCAATAAATAATTTTAGTCAATTTGGATTTATATCCTTAAGTTTTAAAAATTGATTTATTTTCTCTACATTTTATTTTAGTATTCTTCCTCCATTTCTACTCTTCCCTTCCTCGATTCTTCTAGAAAATTATTTCTCTTTTTTAAACCTTCCCAAATTACTTTGAGCTAACAAGCTAAGAATGATGACTTGGTAAAGATTAATGATTTGTCTTAAATTAGTTAACATAGATACTTTAGTTAGTGTGGCATGTCAAATATTAAAATATGCACAATCAGTCAATTCTATATGTTAAGACTTAGGTTTTAAGACCTTCACAAGCTATAGATAAGACTTACACAAATATAATTCATTTTTTTGGTAAATAATTAAATAACTAATTAATAATACTACAAGCAAATGCAGATATGAACATAACACCTACTCATCCCCTTTCTTTTAATTAATTACTTCTCACAAATACTGCCTACTTAATTACCTTCTTCTAATTAATTACATACTCATCACAACGGTTGAAGTAATTTAATATTTGTTTCCTAAAAGTGTTGTATGGTTTTGCAAGGCCGTAGGAAGATTAGAGTAAATTACATTTCTAGTCTTGACTATTGTTGTATTGTCACATTTAGTTATAATTTTTTAATTTTGTCACATTACATCATTGATTTTTTTTTTTGTCACACAATTAGTCATCTTTTTTTAACTGTTGTCATCTCACCATTTAATAAATATAACAGACATGTAATTTTATCAATCTATTAAAATAGTTAACATGAGGATAAGAGAAATTACATGTTGGGCAAGAGGATTGAATGATAAATTACATGTTAGTTATATTTATTAAACATTGAAATAACCAAAATCTAAACGGATGGCTAATTGTGACAAACAAATAAAAATTAAATGATGTAATGAGATAAAACTAAAAAAGTATGACTAAATGTAACAATGTCATAATAATCGATGACTAAAATTAAAATGTGCTCTCATACAAATTACTATGCATTAACAATTCATTATATTGTATAGTTTATTGATAAGTTGATGGCAAAATTAAACTTGCCACTCTTGTAGGTCAGATTGAAAACTCGAGACCATAGCTAAAGCATAAGCTAACAAGTTCATTGAACGCCTTACATATTTAACAATTAGATTTCCAAATATATACATAACTTAGTCATATTATGTTTATTACAATTATTAATTAATACGATTAATTGTAACTTTATATAAATATTAATATAACTATATATATAG